CCCAAGATGTTTCTCTTTAAAATTGATATCAGATGTTGGTTAGCTCTTTAAGACCACATAGACACGATTCAGTATGCTGTTATTGCAAAATGCTGTACTAAAAAGGTGATATTTTTTAACCAGGTTTTCAGAATTTTCAAGCCAGAGGAATCATTCCTCAATTCCAGAAAATTGACTTCATTTCAACAAAGAGTTTGTTAGTTTCCTTACCTCAACTTGGACATTTACTTTCATCCTAACTGAGTATGTCATATTCTGAAGCCTGGCATGCCATGGGAGAAACTCAACCTCCTTGTCATCCGTAAAGAATGTGGGCTTCTCGAGGGTGACTTGTCCGAACTTGACTGTTGTGTATATCCAATCATGTTCCTTGTTTTTTGTTGGATCAAAAGACGGCTCCACGAGCATCTCACCAAAGGAGTCAAAGACGCTCTAAAGCCCGTGTTGAATGAAAAAGTTGTAGGAGTTGAGCTGATGGCTTATAAGTCCATACTCTTGAAAGAAGGATATTGCTGCTTTTTTGCAGAAACTCTGGAGAAAACTTTCTCCAAGGTCAGACAGATTGATCTGCTCAGCAGCCTCAATTTCATCAATGTCCATCACGTCAATGTCCATCTCTGTTCTACCTCCACACACTGTAAGAAATGGAAACAAAACCCCCAAACGAAGAAGACAGAAAAATGATTCAGCAAGCAGTCTCGAAAATCATGAACCATGCAAAATGTATGTTTCGAAATATGGTGCAATCAAAGTTTTCACAAGAATCGAAACGTTTAGAAGCAACACGGGACCGTATACTCTCCGGAATTTCAAAGCTTAAAAGCACAATCGAAGCGTAATACCTAAAATGCGTACCTTTCAGACGAAGCGATGAAGTGAAACGGCGGTGACGGGGGAGAGCAAAGCAAACATCGCCGGAAAATCTCTGAAGATGCCAAATAGAGTAAAACCAACCCTTGCTCACTTTTTGCATTTCAAAGCCACACTGTTTGCTCTTCAGTCCTCGGCCAGTGTATCGCTGTTTTCAGCGATACACTGGCCGAGGACTGAAGAGCAAACAGTGTAGTTTTGAAATGCAAATTTGTTGCTGCTTAAACTTTTTTATTTGCGTTGAAAAGTCAAAGAAGGAGAAAGTTTAAGGTACAATTCACGGGACGTTTATAAATTTAGGCACTTTATTGTAAACTGTTTGCATTTTAAGGTACTTTGCAATCCAAGGTGACTTTGGATTTGTGCATTGTCCATTATGTCCCTCTAGTAACTAGGTAAGTTACATGCAACTCGCAAGTGTTCATCTTCTCCGTGCCAGTCCAGATGTGCGTTTAGATCAGAGCAATTAGGTTCCATGAAAATCGGTGGACGAGGTTTGATAAGTGATGCGATGAAGACGAGAGGAGAGACTACGATGATCTTGAGATTAACAGGGTAGAACTGGATTTTTTCGTGATTTTTGTGTGTGTAGAAATCTGTTTTTGGCAACCATTCATCATGTCTTTCCTTCCTCTTAGAAATCAGATTAATGATTTCACAAACCTTATTACTGAGTCTTTAGATGGGTAATTCAATCCAAGCTAAATTTTCTCAAACTTCTATATGGAATTGTATGACTATTTATGGATTTGTGTTTTTGTTTTGGTTTCTATAAGAAACGTAGCTAGTTTTCTTTATGATTATACGACTTCGCGTGGACAAGTTGGCATGGATACATTTGCGTGGATAGACTATAGAAGCACTGTTTACAATTAAATAGCTCAAACCTATAATTTGATAAAGGGTAGGGGATTGCATGGACAGAGGGCTAACTACAAAGTTTTTTGTTTCACAATCTGTATGTGTGTTTTGATTATTTTTGGTTTTTAACAATATGAGTAAAAATAATACGACTTCGCGTATACGCGTTCGCATGGACACATTTACGTGGATAAGATATGGAACAAATTTGGTACATGAAATCATTTTGGATTTCAAAATACAAAACCGTTTGTCGTCGCTGATATTTCTGGAGGATTTAATCACCAACAAAATCAAGTGATTGAGAATTGATGGAGATGTGAAACCTTACATTGTGGATTTGTAATTCTATGTGGATGATGTTGAATCCATGATAACATCTACTAGAGTAGATGTGACCACCAATACCAAAACCTTGCAGTTTAGTTTTTCTCTCTTTGAATCTACTAAAGGAAACGGTCCACAAACCACACATCTCGATCTGGAAGTCTATGACAACATACAAAAGCATATGAACCAGTAACTGCTCCACATCCTTTACGAAAACCTCTTCAACAAATGTTTGTGGTAATCGAATATCCACAGACTTTCATCCATATGGACGGAAATTAAACGGTCTAGGGTTCATGGACGATGACGTCTCGTTATCAATTTTATTTAGAAAGTACGTTTTCCATAAGTTTAATATTTTCGTGGCCACCGTATCACAACACAATTGGAACTAATTAGGGAAATGACCAAAACAAACAAGTTGGCTCTAATTTTTATTCTAGAAACCGACAGCAAATGAATTATAGCTCCTCCCAAGAGCTAGAGCCTTTTATCCTTTTTTTTTTCAACAAACTCCATATATTAAATCAAAGTTAATCGGTTAGGAAAGGCTACTCCGATTGGAGCAGCTCCTACCGGCTCATCGAGATCTACATGGAAAAAGAAATGGCCACTTACACGAGCCCCTTTTGCAAGGGCATCAGCATTGGCATTACATGAACGTGGAATAAGGGATAGTCGAAAGAAAACAAAACTGTCTCTAAGCTCATAAANGTAGTCNANCTCTNTNTNNAACANTGGCCAATCCATCGGGTTGTCAATCATCTTCAGTAGGTCTGAGCAGTCTGTTTCAACCCGAATTGTGATGATGAGATTTTGTTTGAGACATTCAAGTGCCCAGAGAAGTCCATCTAGCTCTGCATGTAGTGCCGAAAGGCTCCTCCGACAGCCTCGCCTGCCGGTGTACACTTGTCCTGAGATATTAGTGAAACACCACCCCAGACCACTATTGGGCCCATGCTCCACCCATGATGCATCGATTTGGCATACTGGGATATGTGGGTCCCCAGAAGGGATGGTCGTTGTGGCTCATGGGGGGCTTCCTCTCTCCTCGTCGTCTTCCTGCTCTAGGTTCGCGATTCGCCAACTCTCTTCTTCAAGTCTTGCGAATTGAAGAGTTTCTATGGGTGGTATATCTTTCCCG